CTATCCCCTCCCTAACTCCCCACCTACACTCACCTTTACTGGCTCCATCCCCGCCTCTTTGACCTGTCTGTCTCCTCTCTCCCTGTCTTCTCCTCTATCCATCTTCTATCCGCCTCCCCATCTCTCCCTACTTATTTCAGAACCCCCTTTCCCTCCCCCATTTCTGATGAAGGGTCTAGGCCCGAAATGTCAGCTTTCCTGCTTCTCTGATGCTGCCTGGCCTGCTGTGTTCATCCAGCTCTATACCTAGCCTGCAAACATTGCCCAGTTCTACAATCTCTCCAAGACAGTCTCACTGTGTCCCTATGATTACTAGCCCGTACTGTGATCACTACAGCTCACATCTCCTCTGAATCCCCCACAACTTCCAGCTCTACCTGATCCTTCACATCTTCAGTCTACAATCTCACCATTAAGGCAAACTCTTGAGTCTCTCCCCCACTGCATCTCCCCTCGTAACCTCTGACTTTGCTAAAATCACCTTCAACAACAGTCTCACCTCTAACCATGAATCCTCCAAATCCCCTCCTCATCAATCCCCAACATGTTATGATTTACTCCACATGAAATACAATTATCCTGATTCTCTTTTTTGGAGAATTTCCTTGTCTGATAGTCAACCAAGTCTGTCATTCAGGCCAGTTTCCCAGAAGAGAATCCGTTTTAAAAAAACGTTCCATGGCATTCAGTGTTACAAAGCTCTGTCCCTATTCAATATTGGAGATGTAAAGTAGTTAGGTTAGAAACTTCTTATCAGATTTTGAACATTCCTCTCCTGTTTATTCATCCCCTGATAATGTCCCCAGTCGTTGTGAACGTAAAAGTAGATTACCTTGGTAGCAGGGCTAGAACTGGTGTGATGAGACAGATGAGGTAAAAGAGTGGATCGGTCATCTGATGTTGCATTATCCAGTAGGGATTTGATGGAGGGTTGCAGGTCACACAGTTGGCACTGTACACCATTGTAACAAAAAAGTAGAATGCTATGCTCCCAATTATTGAACCCCAATGCAGCCAGGTCTGTCAGAAAAAGGTTAAAGATATAAGAGGTAAATTAATCTAAAGGATTGGATACAGTCATTGATTTTCCTGACCTTTGTGCTTGGGAAGTGCCTATATCATCAGTCACAAAGGTCAGAAAAATTAGGTTGAGGCTAACTTCACTGAATTTCTGTGCTGTTGTCTTAGAATTTCTAAGACTTTTCAAAGAAGGACAGAGGTAATATGTTATGATTCCTGATCCCTTGTCAATCAAAAGGTTCATGAGTTTCAACCCCAAATTATCTGGATAATTATTCTCTTTCGATTGTTCAAATCCCTCCAAGATGAATGGGTGAAATTCAACGTATTGAAATAGGATACAATGGGCATTGGTTTCCAATGAAAGCCAACAGGCTGTGATCATAGTGACCTGACATGCATTGACTCGCTGTTTTTAAGTATATGACCCAGCCATCGTTCAGTCTGTGTCAGATGGGTTAGTCTGCCATGTCTTTGAACCAGGACAAGAAAAACTTTCATACCTGGGCCTGGACAGGTGCAATGTACTTTTCAGTGCTCTGTTTCCACTCAGGAAGATAGTCACTCCACTTTACTTATTTAGTGATCAACAAGGTACAGTGGTTCAATAGAAAATAAAACTAATTTTGCCTTTTTGCTAGTTTTTTATAATTTAATTTCACTCTGTTCATCTTCATTAATTGTAATTATTTCTCAAAACTAAAGCCTGGAATTAAAATCTGTTTACACATTATGACAGTAAAAGTAGTTTCACATTAATGTTCTGTGCTAATATGACAATGTTGTTTGCTTCTTTTATAGCAAGGATTTTAGTGGAAAATACTGCACTGCAATTTTCCACTAATCTAAGGACTCTATAGTATGTATTTCTGAGATCTGTACTTACCCATGTTTTGGTTTCAATTGCCAGATGTGCTAGGATTGTAAAGATGGACAGGGTGTTCATGGGTATTCCAAATGAAAAGACATCAATATTTGAATCTCGATAAGCCTTAAAAGAAAAGATTAATAGAGTCATAGAGTTATAGAGCACGGAAACACACACTTCGGTCCAACCAGTCCATGTTGAACATAATCCCAAACTAAACTAGTCCCATTTGCCAGTTATTGGCCATATCCCACCAAACCTTTCCTATTCATGTACTTATCCAAATGTCTTTAAATGTTGTAATTGTGCCCACATCCACACTTCTTCAGGAAGTTCATGCCACATGTGAACCACCCTCAGGGTACAAAATTTGCATCCATATCTTTTTTAAATTTCTCTCCTCTCACCTTAAAAATGGGCTCCCTAGTCTTGAAATCACTCATGCTAGACAACAATAATTAACCCTCTCCAGCTTTTCTTTATAACTCAAACCTTCCATATGTGGTAATACCCTGCTAAATCTCTTCTGAACCCTCTCCAACTTAATAACGTCCTTCCTATAACTGGGTGACCAGAACTGGACATAGTACTCCAGAAGAGGCCTCAACAGTGTCCTGTACAATATCCACATGAATTCCCAACTCCTATACTCAAGGCTTTGAGCAATGAAGGCAAGTGTGCCAAATGCCTTTTTAATCAGCCTGTCTATATGTGATGCAAACTTCAAGGAATTATGCACCTGAACCCCTAGGTCCCTCTGCTCTACAACACTACCCAAGGCCCTACTATTAATTGTTTGAGTTCTAACCCTGTTTGTTGTACCAAAATGCAATTAATGCTTAAATAAGTTTACAGAGAAGGTAAAATGTAAACCTGATTAAAGTTAGCAATGAGTAGTATTGCCCCAGTACTTACAAAGTATGGAATGAAGAAGCAGACAAGACTTTGATAAAAGGCATCGATCATGTTAATCCCAAAAATACAGAGATTAGAGACCTGGACAGAAGATATATTTGAGATGAAATTAACTTTGTTTTTCTGTGTGTTTTGAAGTTAGCAGATTTTGGAAAGTCATCAGCTACAGATTGTAACAGCCAGGAGACAGTGTATTGCAATAACTGTTACATTTGATCCTGCCTAGAAACAAGGGCAGGGTACTGGAGTATTTTGACAAGGTAAACAGATCAAATCAAGGGCCAGTCAGTTTTAATCAGTGGGAGAAAGGGGCAACCAAAGGAGGTGGCTCCATGCAGCAACGTGTTGCTGTTAGCTCTGAAGAACTGGAGGCTGACTGAAGTTTCAGGAGCACACTGGGGCTTAAGGAAAGCTATGAGCAGTTATTGCTTGGTGCAGCTTGAAAGACTGAAGTTTGGAAAAACTGAGAAGCTGTGCCAGCTTAGTATGACTAGCCATCTGTGAAAGAAGCTGAAATTGTGTCTTTAATAAACATTGTGAGCATTCTCAAGAATAGGGGACTTAGTCTCATAAGTAGGGATTGATTTACCAGGATCAATGAGTAATGTTTAAACAGTCTCGATTGAAGCAGCTTTGAGGGGTTATAAAGGACAGATCTTTGAAAATAAGGAATTAAAATCCCCTGTGAAGATGTGTTTTAATAAGCATCACTAATGTCTTTTTAAATTGCAAAATAATCACTGGGATTGTCTTGACTGTAACTGCCATTTGATGTGCTTTGTGTGGTGTTTGGCACTGTTTGTCTGTTAATCTGTAATTATCTCATGTTGATTCTAGATTTTGGAGTACGTTTCATACACATATATATAGTAAATTGTTCTATGTTTATAGCTTTGTGTAGTAAAGCTTATTTCATTCAAAACCACAAATTCTTATGGCTTTACTCCATCACGTTTGTTAATCGTCAACAATTAAATGTTCTTTTTAAACATTGATATTCTCTAACACATTTACATTCCCCCAACATTAGTTGATTGTACTTTAACACAACATCTTAGCCAAAATAGTACACAGAAAAATGATTCATGTAGCCCAATGCACCTCTGAAAAATAACCCAGGACTAATTTCTGGAACAATTGAGAAATCCTAATTCACCCTAAAACTCACCCGTGTATAATAAGTCTGGAGTTAAAACTGAATCAGAATCCATGCAAAATCTTGGCTTCCTTCTCCAAAACTTCATACAGGTGCATGCATGTTAAGCTTTGACTTTGATCATGGGCCCAAAATAGCTCTAGACCTTTTTATTGAGAAACTATGACAGTAAAATGTGTCAATAGTTAGGTAAATTAAGTCTACAATTCTACCTTTTTTTTATTCTTTTACAATTGAAAAATTATTAAATAATATTCAGGACTCAAACCCACTTAAATGGATTTTAGCAGGGGCCTTACATATATTTACTCATACAGTAGGCAATAATATTGTAAGTTAACTTTACCACAGACTGCTGACCACTTTTATACAGTTTGGGGAGCTCCAAAAGCAGTTCTGCAGAAATATCTTTATCCAATATTCCAAACAGTAATGGAGGAAGGGACGTGAAGAATAGATTGAAAAATATCATCAACCAATAGTCAATCATTGTTGTCCCACTAAATCCACAGAAAAACTGGTACCAGAATAAGAGATTCACATAGATCTAGGGGAATGAAAAAATGGAAAGCAAAATCAGAACATAATCATCACTTGGAGAAGATGATACAAAACTACTAGAGTTTTAAAATATAATTTTATGGGAAACTGAGGAAGTAAAAAGTTAACATGTTAATACCCAGTGACAGATAATGATGCTTGAAATTAAAATATTGCCAGTTTGATTATATTGAATTTCAGTATTAAGGGCTTCAATAATTTATGTAGTGAGGTAGATGCAAGGCAAAGTCCTCATCACTCTGTTTGAACAGTTTCACTTCAATCCAATTTCAACGCACTGTTTGCATCACTCTACCATTTCAACTGCTAACACCATTACAATGTTCTTTTTTAATTGTTCCAACATTTCCTGCTTTCTCATTCTAACTTTCCTCAGAGTTGTCTTGGATTGTTGCTTACCAAAATTCTGCATATGCCTATTCAATGTTGTCTATCAAGAGGCCTTCATGGGAAAATGTTTAAGGCAGCTGCAGAGTATGCACTCAGCTGATTTTTTTTTTGCATGATGCTGAAATATAAAATGACGGCATGCAAAATTTCCTGAAGTTTTCATAACTGCTATAAAACTGATTGAGAGGCCACAATTTTATGAAAGAGTGTTTAGATATACTGAAACAATTGTGTAAACAGCGTTAATGCCCAGTGCTTCACTGCCCTCTTAGTGCTATTTGCTTCGTGTATTTACTTCTGCTGCCTGAGGGCAGTTTTGAAATTCTGTCAGCTTTTCGGTTTATTTAAAACTGATAATAGAAGGTCTGATACATTTATATATCTTAATGTTTGTGGTTGACCCTGCTAGAACTGTCATGAGTTTAATGTTTAGCTGAACAATATCAACAGCCAAATAAGTGCAAGTACAAAATGCAAAAGGCTCCTGATGGACTCCAGCCTGGTAAGCTTGGCAAGAATATGACAAAAAGTTAACCTTATCCACTTACCACATTCTTGTAAAAGAAGTAAACGGTCATATTGGACAATCGAGTGTAGCACCAGTGACCATGTACCAGCAGCAGCTTTTTTAGATGTTTGAAGTGAGAGATTGAAAAATCACTGGCCATCACAGCCTATCAATACAGATCACAAGTGTAAAGTCAGAATCTGTTAGTTTCCATACAAAATTGCAAAGCATACACAGCAGAGGTATGTAATTCAACGCAGTCATGTCCAAACGAGTTTATGCTCCACTCCTTCTCCCGTCCTTCCTCACTGAACTCTATAAAAATCCCTTTTTGTTCACTTTTTCTTCACATCTAACTGCCCTGTAAATGCATTGTTTGCTCCACTCCTTGTGGTCATGAGTTTCACATTCTCATCATTTCTTATTTGATTTCTTGATGCCTACCTTATGTTGATCACCTCTAGTTTTGTTCTTCACGAGTGGAAATCTTCTATCTGTGTCTACCCTGTGAAAACTTTTCGTAATATTAAAATCCTCTTTTCAGTCCTCCCTCAGCCTTCTCTTTTCAAAAAAAGAGAAAAAAATTGTTCATTCTTTCCTTATAGGTATGACTGCATAGCTAACAATCATCTACATAAATCCTGTTTCACCTTCTCCAGTGTATCTAAACCCTTCTAATTAAATGACTTGGATCTGCGCACAGTATTGTAACGTACTGTTAAAGCAAAGCAACTCATCGTGAATATACATTTTAATTTGGGGAGTATTTCATACCACGTTATGGAGCTGGAAGGGCGCTAAACCACTGCACCAACCAGCTTTTCAGCAGTATCCATTCTTGATTTGATTAGTGTAGGAACTTTAGGGAATACTGTACCTGCATTCCTTCTTGACCAAAGATTCCAATGCCCACATCAGCAGCTTGGATCATGCTGACATCATTGGCCCCATCACCTGGAAGATAAAATATATTGCTTCAGATTTTATCAGATATGCACAGATTGATCATGAATGAGGTATTCTTTTGCCCTGCATTTTCAGTACTTCCAATAACAGCAAAGAACAAAATGTGCACAAGTTCAGAGATAGTGCTCTGCATACAGTTTTTGTTGGGTAACATAATTTAAAACTATACTAAAATTGTTCACCGTGATACAGAACAGAATTTCCCAAAATTACACGAATAAATTTGAGTTAGGATTGACTTCCCACACAGCTAATTCTGATCTTCACTTTAATAATGGTATTTAGGTGCAAGAGGTAAAACAGATATTTTATAAATGTTTTTCACATTGATTAGCATGAGGTAATAAAGATAGCCAGGAACAAGCCACTTGCCCATGCTCTCACTGAGAAATATATGGAAAGTTGGGTTGAATTTTCATGGCTTTAACATCTGTAAACATTGAGAAATGCACAGGTTTAGACTCCAGCTTCTAATCAGGACTTAAATTCACCATTGTCTGTTAGCTGGAGCCATATTAATTAGCTTCATCTGGACTTTGGTCCAGGAGACAAAACTACATCCAATTCACCACCAAATGACAGTCTTACTCAGAGGCCAGATGATTACTGGTGTGTGAACGCAAAAGATACCAAGGCACTAAGGATGTTTCAGAGATAGTAGGAACTACAGATGCTGGAGAATCTGAGATAACAAGGTGTAGAGCTGGGTGAACACAGCAGGCCAAGCAGCAGCAGATTTCTGAAGAAGGGTCTAGGCCCGAAACGTCAGCCTTCCTGCTCCTCTGATGCTGCTTGGCCTGCTGTGTTCATCCAGCTCTACACCTTGTTATCTAAGGCACTAAGGATGTTCTCTTGATAGGGCTACAACAGGATCTAGGGCTGAATTGGTAAAAGTTTATTCAACAGCAGTTTGAGAATATTTTATGCTAATATTGCATTGTGGAATGGCTCATTCAACTAAAATCATGTGCTTATATCTCATGGTTTTTAATCAATTAATTGCAGTGTTGAGTGTAATTCATTGTTAAGTAATCTGACTACATGATTTTATTAAAACAAAGAACTGTGGTTGCTGGAGATCTGGAAAAAATTAAAACAGAAATTACTAGAGAAACTCAGCAGGTCTGACAGCATCTATGGAGAGAAAACAAAGTTAGTGCTTCAAATCAAAGATTGCCTACAGTGCAGATAGAGGGCATTTAACCCATTGAGTCTGCACTGACCCTCTGGACAACATCTGGCCCAGACCCACCCCATCTCTGTAATTACACATTCATCATGGTTAATCCACATAGCCTGCACATCCCTGGATACTATAGAGTAATTTTTAGGATGGCCAATTCACCCATCGTACACATCTTTGGACTGTGGGAAGAGACTAGAGTACCTGACAAAACCCTTCACAGATAGATAGAGAGAGAGAGAAAAAAATGTACAAATGCCACTGGAATTAAACCCAGGTCCCTAGCACTGTGAAGCAGCAGTGCTAATCATTGTGCCACCATGCTGCCCCTGCTTCAGGATGGTTCTGAAGACTGATCACTGAACTCAAAACATTACCTCTGTTCTCTCTCCACAGATGCTGCCAGACCTGCTGAATTTCTCCAGGAATTTTTGTTCGTGACATGATTTTGTTTAAGATTTGAAAACATTCAGAATTTAATCATTTCAATGAACAAGGAAAGATTTGTAAATGTAAGAAATGCATAAGGCATAATCATTGACAATTTCACAGACTTCATGCTAATGATGGTTTATTTTGTCGTTTGACTTAGATACTATACTGATCATCTTAGTTCAAAATCCAAAAACCCAATGTATATAGATTCTACACTATCCAAAGGATATTTATTTGCTAGTTTTGGTTAGATTGGTCACGTATGAAAAACTAAAACATGCAGGAATTCACATAATTCCCAATGTGCAGTGGGGCTAATTTTATTCCCAAAACGAGAAGGTGAAGGGATGGGAGCAATTAGGGAAACAGAACAATCAGACCTAATTGCATTAAGGAAAGCATCAATCTCAAATAACCAATTAAAAGTGAACTCTTTTTTTTACCATCTATTTAAGGATGAACAGTAAAATGACACATACCTATCGCTAACGTCATGACATCTAGGTGATCTCGGACTAGCTTGACCATCATGCTTTTCTGGAGAGGAGTGGAACGACAACACAACACAGATTGGCAACACTTTACTAGATCCAGGAACTTCTTCTGTAGGTTTCCATGGAAGATCACATTCAAAGTCTTTCCATCAATCACTAGACCAAAGCTGGGTTTCCGTACAGAGGAAATGGGTGCAAAGTCTATCGTTAAATTGGATCTGGTGCTATTTATGTCTTTATACATTCTCATTTTGTCCAAGATGCAATCCAGTGAAGATTCACAGGTCTCCTGATAATTAAAGAATATACAGAATAAAAAGTAGAATACTTATTTCAATGAGCTATTGTCAGGGGAATGCAGCAACTATCTGTTCATCTCTAGCACTCTACAGAACAGGGCTATAAGCTATTGCTAAGTATTCAATATAATGTTTCTATATCATTACAAATAGGAATGATGTAACCAAGCTTGGTTCAGCTTTCATTTTCACAGATAGATCTACAAACATTCCTGGGTCAAACTGAAGTTTGGAGAGACAAAGTCCTGCGTGCCCTTGCCATAAAACCTGCAAGTGACATTTATGCTACTATGCAGAAAAAGGTGTCTCTGGCATACATGCATACGCTCTGAACCCCATGACTGTAGACCATGGCTGCAAGACATTCATCAACTTGATTAGGTCAGTTAAAGTAACACATTTCCTTTCTTGGCTTCCGATTTAAAGGCATCACCACACTTCATTCTCCAAAACAAACAGTTAAAGCAAATATCCTTTCAAATTGCACTCTAGGGAAGATGCTAATCCAAGTGTTTAAGTTATACCCCTTTCACAACATGGTAACTGTTTACATACACAATCCTCTTTGTCTATTTTATCAAGATAGGACCACCACATCTGAAATCACCTGTTCCCAGTCACCTGCCATGCCACACTTGTTCCATGGTCTCCTTCCGATTTACACAACCTGGCTGCAGAAAATGATATCCCCAAAAAGAAAAGCTCTCTCCTCCACAAACAATAATCCATGTAATCAACGATTGTCAGAATACAGGCATGTATCTCAGGTGTAATATACCTTGCTACTAAATAATATATAACAAATCTATTGTTCAGCAAGATTGTGCCGTCTTCTGTTGAAGAATCCAAATGGGCATCTTTCTCCACCTGGTATCAGTAGCTTTATGATACCAGCAAGGTGGATCGATGGCTGTGAATTTACCCAAGACCCCCAGCAGAAACGAACATAGGCAAGAATGGTTCACTGTTTTATTCCGTGGTCATGTGGCCAGCAGCAGATATGGTTAAATGTTACAATCAAGCATGCTATGCATTTGGGTCAAGCTAGTTTAAACTCTGACTTTGGTTAAAACTGCAAACTAGGACATGTTGTGAGCTGATTTGTAAGCTGTGACCTGCAATTTCCTGTATTGACCAAATAAGGCAAGTGTCATGGCAGTCACCCTGCTAGACTGGCACCTATTACCTTATATGGAACATGGAATGTGGCTATTTAACATTTGAGAGTTTTTTTTGAACCAATAAAACTCCATTGGCTTGTACAGAATAATGGGATCAGGGGTTTGGTCAATTCTTTGGCTGAGTGCCAGAGGAATTTCTGGGAGGATGAGCATATATTATTGTGATAAAAGATAGTAGAACAAAGGATTCTCAGGAGAAGCCTTCCAGAACAACACATGAAAAGTACATGCCCTGAAGTGATCTTCAGAGAAGACAATTACGAGACAAGATCTACATTGAGAACAAAGTTGACCATTTCACCTAATTTGGGATAATAACTGTTTGAAGTCCAGCAAATGGAGTTAAAGTTAGGGTTAGGGTTAAATGTGAATTCAGTTAAACCTGAGATAAAGTGAAGTTAAATGAACTGGGTGACACAGTGGCTCAGTGGTTAGTGCTACTGCCTCACAGTGCCAGGGACCTGGTTTCGATTCCACCCTCAGGCAACTGTCTATGTGGAGTCTGCACATTCTCCCTGGGTTTCCTCCCACAGTCACAAAGATGTTCAGGCTAGGTGGATTGGCTACACTAAATTGTCTGTAGTGTTCAGAGATGTGTAGATTAGGTGGGTTATAGGGAGATAGGTCTGGGTGGGATGCTCTGAGGGTCAGTGTGGACTTGTTGGGTTGAAGGGCCTGTTTCCACATTGTAGGGATTCTATATATAAAAATGTGCAATGAATGTGTGTTTTATGAAAGAACTGTGGATACTGGAAGTCAGAAACAAAAACAGAAATTGCTGCAAAATCTCAGCAGGTCTGGCAGAGTCTGTGGACAGAAATCAGAGTTAACACGTTGGGTCTAATGATCCTCCTTTAGAATGGTAGAATGTGGAGTGCAACAGGCAAAATCACATGGAAAATAAACTAGATTGTGCTGCAGTGTCCCAGTAACTTGTCGAGGTAGTGGAATGTAAGTTTTATATTCGGTATTGGTACTTAAAGGGTTATCTAAAGAAGCGTTTGTTTAATCAATTTCTGAGTTGGTTCCTTGCCTGTTGTTTGTCACACAAGGGATGTATTCCTGGGTAAAAGGCTGAAGGACTCCTTTTTGGACAAAATTTCACAAAAGTTAGAACCTTTGCCAATAGGATACAACTTATTGGCACTGCTTTATTAAATTATGTGGTTCTTACGACACTGTTGGTGTACGGGAAAAGAGATTTGATGTATTGTTATGGTGTAGGATGGGTACTGGATTGAAGGACTATTTCTTGAGTTGGAGAGAGAAGAACTCAGCAGTTTGCTAATAAAAGCACATTGAATTTAATCAAAGCAAACACTTCAGGGACTAGTTGCCTTCTCCCAGCAGCAGTCATCAGGGAGTTCATAGTGTCAACCATCATTTGCTTTCATCCAAGCAGTTCTGCCTTTAGAGTTGTCCCTCCCTAGGCATTTATGGAGCAAATCTGTGGAGTGCAACAGGCAAAAATACATGGAAAATAAATGAGATTGTGTTGCAGTGTTCCAGTTAACTTGTCAAGACAGTGGAAGCATTCTTTTAAATTCTGAAGGTCTTTTTAATAACAATACCTCAAAGGCTTATGTCACATTGTAACACTCATCTACTGTTATCTGGACCACTTGCAGTTGGGGTCATTACCCATGCTAGTAAGGGTCTACTTAGTTACGAACAATCCTCTTCACCAATTTATTTCTTAAAGAGGTTGGGGAGGGGCATATTTTTAAAGATGAATGCACTATGAAAATATCCAGCTGTTAATATATTATGTGGTTTCCATGTCGTCATGCATTAAATACAGTCAGGGTGTGGAAGCCTTTCCTGGTTGATAAAGTGGAAGGGATGATCTGTGGAAACTTAGGGAGCATCGTGGGTGCCATCCATTACATTCCAAACATTGAATGGCTAGATCTCCATAGAATTCACATGGAGAAGCATTAGGTGATACATTTTGGTTGGAAGAACATGGGAAGAAAATATAAATGAAATAATCCACAAAACTAAATGGGATGCAGAAGCAGAGGGACCTGAGTGTGTACATGCCTAAGTCATTGAAGGGGTCAGGATAGGTTGACAGAGCAGGTAGTAAGCCATACTGTATTCTAAGGTTATTAATAGGAGAATTGAGTATAAGAGTAAGGAGATTATGTTCGACTTATATGAGACACTGATTTAATAGAAGGATTGCAGGGATGATCAATTTAGTTATGAAGAGAAATTGGAGAAGTTGGGATTATTTTCCTTGGAGCAGAGAAGGCTGGGAGGAGATTCCATTAATTGTTCAAAATCAGCAGGAGCCTGCACAAAGTAAGTAGACAGAAAATATTCCCGATCATGAACGAATTGAGAATGAGAGGGTACAGATTGAAAATAATTGATAAAAGAAACAAAACTGACAGGAGAATGAAGTTTTCCACACAGAGAGTAGTCAGGGTGTAGGATTTACTGCTTGAGAGTGTGGTGGAGGCAGGTTCAATAGAGGCATTGGAAATGGTTATTTGAAAATGAAAAATGTGTCGTGTTTCAAATAGAAAACAGCAGAAATGGCATGACGCGAGATGTTTATTTGGAGACCTGCCACAGGCAAGATGGGCTGAATAGTGTCCTTCTGTGCTGTAACAATCTGTAATTCTGTGAACTGGACGGTTCTATTTCATTACTGCTTTGTTTTGAAATCAAATTGGATGAATTCCTCAGGTCCAGGTTAAAATGAATTAAGAAACCAACAATTGCAGACTAGCTGATATTACAGAGATCCTCTGTGGCTGACTGAAATATCCCAGTGCCATTAAAGTGGAGTATAATCGTTATCTTTATAGCTGTGGTGATAACAATGCAGACAGATAACTAGCTAGAAGTCAATATTCACTGCTTGGCAGAACCTCTCAAGTGCCTCTTTGATAAATGCTCTTTGCTTACTTGCGTAGGACTTGCATCTCTGTATATTCTTCTATGGATAGTATTATCTGGTATGGCACATTCTGTTTAAATGCTGTCTCTATCCTGCTCCTTCATTACAAAGGTATGTCCATAAAGATTTTCAGAAATCAAATTGGATGAATTCCCCAGGTCTAAGTTAAAATGAGTTAAGAAACCAAGAATTGCAGAGTAGTTGATATTATAGAGATCCTCTGTGGCTGACTGAAATATCCCTGAATCTTCTGAAGAAGGGTCTAGGCCCGAAATGTCAGCCTTCCTGCTCCTCTGATGCTGCTTGGCCTGCTGTGTTCATCCAGCTCTACACCTTGTTATCTCTTTCAAGAAGCCTGCCAGGTCATCTCAACTCAAAACTATATAAGATACACCTACCACAAGTATTAACATTAATTTCTTAACAGGCTAATTATGAGAAAAATGGCTTAAATCCTGTACCTGTCTGATTCAGTCAAGTTCCACATCATCTAGCTACAACACCTATTGTAAAGGTCAATTTAATTCCCAAAAAAGCAAACACATAATCTGCAGCTACTGTTTAAAGTTAGAGCTGCAAAGATTCCAAGTACATTTACCCGACTGGTTTGACATTTATGAGAGACCAAGAGCCACAAATTAAACTGTAATATGAAGCAGAAAGGAAAGGTTAGAAAAATGCCAAACACTTATTTGAAAATGTCAACAGTTTTTAGGTTAGAAATTACTTTGCTTTTAAGAAAAAACTGGTTGGCACTTTCTGCACATGTAATCTAGCAGTGTGTACATCTTTTAAAGAAAAGGTTTTGATGGAGCCAAAGATTTGGAGATGTGTTCACTTGGTGTGACTTCCTATCAATGTCAGAATGTGTTTTCTACAACCACTGCTAATGGGGAAT